GGCTGGAAGAGGCCAATTGCGGAAGAGCAAAGGGCAAGCGGGGTTTCCAACCTCGAGATCTTAGCAGCTGTTGCGGCTTGAGCCGTTGACAGGGTTTGAGCTTCCATGAGCACTGGAACTTTCCTCAATGCCCCTCTCTGTGGCTTAGCATGCGCCTGTGGCGGGAGCTCTTGTGGTTTCAACTGGGCCAGGGGGGGGGGGGGGGAAGGGTAAGTCGGAACCTCCGCGGCGTCAGAATCTAACGCTTGGGAGGTTACCCCTTGTCCTAGCAGTCATACATAGGGATGATCGCACCCCCCTATTAGAATCCGACTATCAAGGACTGTTCTGCTAGTACTGAGATACACAAATCCCAAAATCTCACAGACACCCAAGATCCAAACCTCTTCGGATTTTCAGATTGTGGATTCGCGCCGTGTAATTTGCCTATGCAGGCCCAGGAACGCACAAGTTCAGCGCACGCAAACGAAACAATTGCAACAAACAAAAAGCACACATAAAGACAAGCAACAACTGTGTAAAACAAATAGCAAGATGTTCTTGTTTGCTAGATTCCTGTTCTTGCAGGATTTTCCTAGGCAAAGTAATATTGCACAAGTCCAACATTCCAAACCTCGCCGGAGAACTATGGATTCTTGGGAGAGGGAGAGAGATACTTACAGAAAAAGAGAACGAGAGAGAGAGAGAGAGAGAATAGAGATAGGGAGAGAGAAGAGAAAGAGAGAGAGAGAGAGAGAGAGAGAGAGAGGAGAGAGAAGAGAGAAGAGAGAGAGAGAGAGAGAGAAACAGAAGAGGGAGAGAGAGGCCTCCCCCCCGCCCCCCGCCCTCCCTCACCCGACAACCCAATTCTTCTGTGGGATCTTGTCCGGAAACTTTGGATTCTTGATTTGCTCTTTTTAGATGTCTGGAAGTCGGAACTTCTATTTTGGGTTCTTTTGGAGGTGAAAAGGAGGGAGGTGGAGGTGGGGAGGCACGTTGCACTAAATCAGGGATACGGCGCCACCTGCCAAGTAGTGAATTATTCTATGTGCAAAGACGGACACTTTACGAATTTGGAGACGTGTGCCTTTCAAATGCACGTTTCACTTGGGGAGTATGTACATGTGTATGCATACCCCCCCCATCCCATAAACTGAAGCCCTTACGTAGCCTGGTGAGGGCTCAGCCCCCGGCATCGTCCCGAACCATGGCCGTTGAAACGAAGAAGAGTCTTGCCAGCACACCTCGGGTTCGACTGAGGTTTTGGGTTTATTGGGTATTGGGTTTAGGGTTTAGGGTTTAGGGTTGAGAGTTTAGGGCATGGGGTTTAGGGTATATAGGGTCGAGGGTGTTGAGGCTTATGGCTTTAGGGCTTAAAGGGGCCCATGAGGGGTGCAAGGGGTTTAGGGCTTGGAGGCTATAGGATGCAGTGTGTTTTCAATTTTTAAGTGCTTCATAACTAGTTCATGGTTGGGATAATATTAAAAACTTAAATGTATACATTTAAAATGGTACCCAACTATGACAAAGATAAGGGGGCAATGAAAGGGATGTAGGTTTCGTGCTGTGTTTAGGGCTTGGCTTTACGAGGACTGGGGTGGGGCTGGGCTAAGCCCGAACACCCCAAACGTGCGCAAAACGAGTTGCAGAGATACAGGGGCCGATAAAAATTTTAAGGCTTTGTAATGAAGAAGGGGCCATAAGGGAAGACCAGTAGTAATTATTCCGGCCCCTACATTAGGGGTTTACGGCCTTCGGGGGTCTAGGGCTAGGGCAAGGACCCTGACCTCTAAACCCTAAACCCTAAACCCTAAACCCTAAACCCTAAACCCTAAACCCTAAACCCTAGGGTTTGGGGAACTTCGACTCGGATTTCCACTAAACCCTAAACCCTGAACCAGCTCAACTCGGGACAGATGAAAACTGCCCGAAAGGAAAACACACGCTGAGCACAAGGCTTCAGGGTTTAGGGGTTTAGGGTTTGTTTTTGAGGGTTGAGGGTTTAGGGTTTAGAGGTGTATGAAGGGTTTCCAGATGCATGAGGGTGCACCGCAAAGTTCACTCCTCCTAGCCTGCTAGAAGCCAGTCTAAAACATCGTGCTCTAGACCCTTAACCCTGAACTTTTTAACCCTAAACACCCTAAACCCTCAAGCCTCAATCCCATCCAAGAAACCGTATTTCCAAACAGGGGCGCCACATATGTAGGAGACTCCAGGGAGGTGGGAGTTTACTATACTGAACTTGGAACCCTAGCGAAGTTTATACCGTTATATAGCTTTTTCTTAGGAATTACAGCGCCCAACATTAAAAATCCAAGCATACCTAAGTTTAGCGTTTGGGGTTTCGGCTTCAGGGTCAAAACGTTTTTTGGGTTTAGGGTTTAGGGTTGGGGGTTTAGGGTTGAGGGTTTAGGGTTGAGGGTTTGGGTTGAGGGTTTGGGGTTAATTAGGGTCTAGGGTTTAGGGACCAGGTGGGGGTGCAGACAAGCCGCCGATGACCTGATCAGCCCGGCTTTTTTTGTTCCGGTTGAAGTCTTTAGGCTCAGGGAGGCCATTCCCACCCTAAACCCTAAACCCTAAACCCTAAACCCTGAACCCTAAACCCTAAACCCCAAAAGGGGAGCTGGCTCCTACCGGGGTCCAGGTTTGGAGGGATAATTAACGCTCTAGGGTGTTGGGAGGGTGGGGTGTGTAGGAGGTTTGCTGCGTAAGGTGGGTTTAGGGTTTAGGGTTCAGGGTTTAGGGTTTAGGGTTTAGGGTTTAGGGGTTAGGGGTTAGCGGATTTCGGTCGACAGTTCAGGAGGTCCACAAGCATTTAGGGATATGTACATCGTCTACAAGCCTGGAGCATAGTTACCGCAGTGTTCCGGGTATTTGCAGCAGCAAGCTGGTGTGTTGAGAGCAGGCCCCAAGTACCCCTAAACCCTAAACCCTAAACCCTAAACCCTAAACCCAGATGCCAACTATCCGACCAAGAGCCGCTTTGAGCCTCTGAACAACCTCCTGGCTGACTCACCTGAACCTTGGGACGTTCCCCCTTATACTAGCAGTCCTTCATGGGGATTATAATTGGGTTTGGGGTTTGGGGTTTAGGGTTTAGGGTTTGGGGTTTAGGGTTTAGGGCTTAGGGTTTAGGGTTTAGGGGTTCGGGGTTAGCGGATTTCGGTCGACAGTTCAGGAGGTCCACAAGCATTTAGGGATATGTACATCGTCTACAAGCCTGGAGCATAGTTACCGCAGTGTTCCGGGTATTTGCAGCAGCAAGCTGGTGTGTTGAGAGCAGGCCCCAAGTACCCCTAAACCCTAAACCCTAAACCCTAAACCCTAAACCCTAAACCCTAAACCCTAAACCCAGACGCCAACTATCCGACCTAAGAGCCGCTTTGAGCCTCCGAACAACCTCCTGGCTGACTCACCTGAACCTTGGGATGTTCCCCCTTATACTAGCAGTCCTTCATGGGGATTATAAGTGGGTTTGGGGTTTAGGGTTTAGGGTTTGGGGTTTAGGGTTTAGGGTTTAGGGGTTAGCGGATTTCGGTCGACAGTTCAGGAGGTCCACAAGCATTTAGGGATATGTACATCGTCTACAAGCCTGGAGCATAGTTACCGCAGTGTTCCGGGTATTTGCAGCAGCAAGCTGGTGTGTTGAGAGCAGGCCCCAAGTACCCCTAAACCCTAAACCCTAAACCCTAAACCCTAAACCCTAAACCCTAAACCCAGACGCCAACTATCCGACCTAAGAGCCGCTTTGAGCCTCCGAACAACCTCCTGGCTGACTCACCTGAACCTCGGGATGTTCCCCCTTATACTAGCAGTCCTTCATGGGGATTATAATTGGGTTTAGGGTTTAGGGTTTAGGGTTTAGGGTTTAGGGTTTAGGGTTTAGGGTTTAGGGCTTAGGGTTTAGGATCCCCTTCAAGGACTGTTAGTATAAGGGGGCAAATCCCACCCACCCACCCATAGACCCTAAAGCGCTCGCGCTTTCAGGCTTGAAGGCGTCCTAAACCCCCACCCTCTCCTCCCCACTTCAAGCCGCTGAAAGGCCCAAAACCCTATACACCCTGAAACCTAAACCCCAAGCCCCTGACAAAAATAATTTTACTTGGAGCATCCCCACCCTCTCTGGATAGAGATACTCTGGGGATGGGCACTTTAGGGACGCGCACTTCAGGGATACTTGGGGGCCGTGCACCCTGGGGTCGGGCGAGGAGTACGGCCCAGGAGTGTGTTAAGAAATTTTATTAATTAAGAAATCTGGACCTGGACCGGCCACACATTTTAAAATCCAGGGCCTCGCGGGCTCGCCCCAAAAAATTCCGCCGAGGAAGTATTAAGTAACGTTCTCTGTCATATTTACCAAGAACCCAAGAAACTGCAAGCCTCAAACCCTCTAATCCCTTAAGCCCCGTAGTCTCAACCTAAAGCCTCTGCAAAAAGAGGCCCGGCACAAAAAGTCACCTTTTTCGAGGTGCTTGGGGCCGGAAAGGCCCAAAAAAGGTGACTTTTTGTGCCGGGCTCTTGCGGGGAAGAGGCGTAGGCCGGGCGAAGAGAAGTAGACCGCGCGAGGAGAAGAGTTGAGTTTAAAATCGAACAACCCCACACCGAGGGTGGGGAAAAACAAAGAGGACGTGCCTGGCTCATGTTGTTGTCAAGCACTTTCAGGTTCTTCGTAAGCTGCGCCAAATCTGCCTTTCTTGGGTCGCGGAATTCGGGTTTAGGGGGTTTAGGGTCTAAACCCTAAACCCTAATAACCCTAATAACCCTAATAACCCTAATAACCCCAAACCCCAAACCCCAAACCCTAAACCCTAAACCCTAAACCCGCGGGTGTTTAGGGGGTTTAGGGGCCATGTTAGGGTTTCGGGCTGAGGCCTCGTTTTAGGTGCACGACCCCGGTCTCCACGTCGACCATCTGAAGTACCGATGTTCGGGATTAATACCTTCGGTTTGGGTTTAGGGTTTGGGGTTTGGGGTATAGGGTTTAGGGTTTAGGGCTTAGGGCTTAGGGTTTAGGGTTTAGG